AGGTCTGTCATTTTTGCACCTAGATCGCGGTCATCTCTGCGGTCGTCGCCCATGAGCGAGCTGGTGGCGCTGATGCTGGCGTTTTCGTCTTCGTGGTAGAGTTTGGAGGGTGAGGTTACGAGTTGTCTTGCTTCTTCCAGGGTTTTTGGTAGGGCGGGATGGTCAACTGGGCTGTTGGGGTCGTTTTCCTTCATCCTGCCGAAGAGGAATTTGAAGCTGTTGTCGAGTGTGTTGTTGATTCTACCAAGAGCCTGATCGGCGGAGTCGATAATGGATTCGCGGACTGCATCTGAGGCAGCTTCGATACGATTTGTCTGGGTAGTGATGAGATTGCTGAGGCGACGGTTTGCCTTGGTGGTGGGGCTGGGCGGTGCAATGGAAGAGCTCTTCTTAGGTGGTGTGCCTTGAGCGAGATCGGGGGCATCTGCGAGACCCAGCGCCATTGGTGTGACCTCTGACCTGGGAGTGGTTGGACGAGAATTTGATTTAGGTACTGAACCTTCCTCGAACGAAGACAAATCCACCGTTTCCAAGAAGGATATGGCTGCCTCCAAGTTGACCAAGCAATATGCGGTCTCTCCATCCACGCGAGTGGACCCCCTGAACCGTTGGACGAACTTTAAATGAGAAATCACATTAAGACTTTCAGGGGGCATCGTGATCAGGGTGTAAATCAATGTAGGTAGAATCTCGTCTGCGGAAGAAGATGCGGGGAAGATCTTGGACAAGGCGTCTACAATAGATTTGTGGGCTGTGGTCAAGTGCTGCAGTTTCCCAAGGGGGTAATTGATGTCGTTCATTCTCAAGAGATCATCACGCGCAGAGGACAGGTAGCCGCGTACATCTGCCTCGCGCTCCTTGGTCTTGGTCCGCTCCTCCTCCGTCATAGTTTCTCCAGTGTTCAGAAGCTCTGTCAAACCTATGCCGACTAGAGAGAAAGCAGCCGTCCGTGACCGCAACTTGTGGTCTCTCTCTTCGTCATCAGTGCTCCGGTGTCGCCATATACGGTCATAGACCTTTTCGCACACGGCTCGCTCTACGGCTTCTTCGAGTGCAGCGCGTTTGATTTCGAGATCTCTTCTTGCCTTCTTCCTGTCCGACATTTCGCTCACACTAAGCATCTGCTGCTCTGCACCATCTCCGCTGTTGGATCGGATAGACCCCTGACGACTTGAAGTGGTCTTTTTGAAGGAATCGCTGGTAAGGCGAGCGGAGAGGGTTGCAATGTGTGTGTTGATCTTGGAGGAGGCGCGGGTGTAGAAGTCTTGGAAGAGATCGGAAAGCGCATCGGCGGTAAGGGGGGTCGGGTGGACTTTGGCGGAGAGAGATTCAAGAAACCTAGCAATTAGTCAATTCTGATCCATGACACCACAAGCATAGGAACCAACCTCTCTGTCAAACTCCGAATCTCGATAGGGAGTTCCTCGAATCGGTCAGGGACGCCGAATTCCGATCGGGCACCATCGTCATCTTCGCCCTTGTTCGCAAACACGTCTCTATCGGCCTTTTCGTCATCTTCCTGGGTCGACAAGGAGATTTTGAGGGGATTGAGAGGATCGAGGACAGGCATTGGAGGCCCTTGAAGGGTGCTCGCTCTGCTGCGGGAGGTGGAATCGGGGGCGGCTTGTTTGCTAGACTCGAGGCGAGTGAAAGACTTTGAAGTGTGGAGGTTCTTAGGACGTTCAGCCATGGTAGGGTGGAGAATGGGGTTGGATGAGTGGAGAGGTATGGTCGCGTGCGGACATGAGGTCCTCTAGAGGAGGACGATAATGGCGGTTGTCGAGCTCGAGCCTCAACGTCATGCGGATGATGGTACAGGAGACCCACTTAAGCCAGATGGAACGTGGAGTCGTCTCGTCTCGTCTGGAGAGCGGTAAAAGGAGCTTTGGTTTGAGCTTGTATGTATGTAGTAATTGTAGAGTAGTGAATACAGGCTGCGGCTGGAACCGTTTGACAGGTTTGACTATTGATTGACTATGGTACAAACCGCAGAGATAGAAAGGCAGCAGTCTAGACTGGCATGGGGACGACATATGCACATTCCATATCGGTCGGAGCCGCGGGCTAAGCCCGGATAGGCAAGGCGTAATGCGTAATCCATGTCATGGCATGCACGTGCAGCGGGTGGGTCCCCGTGAACAGCGTCATGACCATTTATCCCACCTCACTATTCATCTAGCTTGCTATGAGACTATTCTTAACTTTACACATTTAGACAGACACATTCCATACATTACCTGCGCGATGAAGTAGTTGTTGCCTCATTCCCAACATTCTCTTTTTCCATTTCTATTTCCAACCCTCATCCATCCTAATTCAAACGCCGACATGCGCTCAAGACGGACGTGTAACTCGCCCGCCCGCGTCACGGCTTCGTCCATCCTTCTCTCTTTCCTAGCAGTGTCAAGTGCTTGGGAACTGCCCATACTCCCACCTCCGCCCTTATCACCGACTCCTCACGACGAAACAGTCCAGCAATTCTCGCTTCGCCACATATTCCACCATGGAGCATACGAATATCCCAAGCTGCACAGACGTCTCGATGTTCCTCCCCACGCCACCGTATGGATGGAAGAAGAGGGTGAGGGAGACAGCCACCCAGAGCGCGTACCCGCCCCGTCATTGCGCGCAAGATCTGAGCCGATGCAAATCCAGCGGCTGGTAGACAGAAGCAGGCCTACGATAGACGGAATATTGGACTGGGGGAGGAAGACGGGGAGGGCCGTCCACTTACATGCAAACGACTGGACCATCGACCAACTGCCGGGTCCAAATGTCTCGGACAAGGAGACTGTTTTGAGCTTTGCGCGTATGGCGTCCAACGCCTATATACTTGAACCCAACACAGGCGAATGGGAAGATGTGGGTGGCGGATTCAATTACACTGAGGATTTCGGGTGGGAGAAAGATGGCCTTCGCGGTCACATCTTCGCCGACACAACCAACTCTACGGTAGTGATAGGGCTCAAAGGCACCTCCCCAGCCCTCTTCGACGGTTCCGAGACCACTACTAATGATAAGATCAACGACAACCTATTCTTTAGTTGCTGCTGTGGGCAAGGCGGCCAATATCTGTGGAGGCAAGTGTGCGACTGTCAGACTTCCGTCTACACATGTAATTCGACTTGCTTAACAGGTGCCTTGAAAGCGAAGAACCGCTATTATTATGCCGCGCAAGATCTCTATCACAACGTCAGCGCCCTATACCCGGACGCCGAGGTTTGGATGGCTGGGCATTCGCTGGGTGGCGCAGTGTCCTCTTTTATCGGTTTGACTTATGGTCATCCAACTGTTACTTTCGAAGCCGTTCCGGACGCCATGCCTGCAGCTCGCCTTGCTCTTCCAGTTCCACCCGGACACCAGGTCGGATCCATGCAGAAGCGCGACATGACTGGCGGCTACCACTTTGGTCATACCGCAGACCCCATCTTCATGGGCTCCTGTAATCAGGCCAGTAGTGTATGCACACTGGGTGGCTATGCACTCGAGAGTACATGTCACACGGGTAAAAAGTGCGTTTACGATACGGTCAAAGACTTTGGCTGGCGCGTGGGTATTGGAACGCATAAGATCATCAGCGTTATCAAGGAGGTCCTTGAACGATACGACACCCCAGCCTCATGCGAAGCGTACGTAAACTGCACCGACTGCTATCCTTGGGAGTTCTTCGAGAGCAACGGGACCGAGCCTTCGTCTTCAACCACCACCACCACCACCTCAAAGAAGCACACTTCCACATCGACGACCCGGACTGAAACCTGCAAGACCCCTGGCTGGTTTGGTTGTCTAGATGAAACCACGACAACGACAACGAAAACCACCTCCAGTAAATCCTCCACCTCCACCTCCACCTGCAAAACCCCAGGCTGGTTCGGCTGCCTCGACGACGATGACGACATCACCTCAACAACCTCAGCCCCCAGACACAAAACAACACCCTCCTCAGCCCCCGTCTTCTCTACCACAGCTGCTACATCACACACGCACACTACGACCAAATCCAAAGAAAAAGAAACAGAGTGCGAGCACTATGGATGGTTCGGCGACTGTCTCGATCCTACTTTCCCTCCTTCGTCATCTTCATCGTCTACAACATCGCCTCCGGCGCCCACAACACGGACCCATCATAAACATAAGGGACCGAAACCAACAACGTCGACGTCAACGTCGTGTACGCATGAAGCCTTTTTTGGACTGATTTGTTTGGATGATCCGACTGAGACGGAGACAGGGAGCAAGAGTAAGACGAAGACGAGGACGAGGACGAAAGGGGGGTGGGGAGAGGTGGAGAACTTGGAGATGTAGATATATGTGTTTTTGGGCGTATAGGATTGCTAGTAATCAAGTTCAACTTTTTAGGATAATTTTTGATGCGATTTTTTAAGGAGGGTTAAGCATAGCTGGATGGGTGGAAGTTTGCACGTATGTTTTTTTGTCTTTCTACCATTTGAAATTGATTGACTACATAGGTATGTGTTTACATACATAGGTAGCTTACATGTAAATGATACCTGCAGATTCTGAGGCTATCCAATACTTTGCAAAGAGTGCATGCATGCTTTATTAGATGTTAGCATCCATTTCCTATTCACCAAGGTGCAAAGTAATTTTTTTCGGGTGTTAGGGGAGTGTTGTACATATGTATGTAGGAGGTTGTGTCTCGTGTCAAATACTTGATTGAGGTTGTTGGGAATAAATAATGATCATTGTTTTTCGACTACAGAATTGAGTGTCTGATATGGGTCTGCTTAATTTATTCAAACTACGGATCTTTTATTATTGTAGCTGGCTTATCGCGACATACTCATTCATCTGCCTGAATTTTCAAGGAAAAGGTGGTATGTAGTGTAGGGCCAAGATCCTGTTGCCGACGTAATACCGAACATCGCGCTAGGTCCACCCACCTCCACCTCACGATGCTCCTCAAGATCCACAATTCGTCCTCAAAAACCGCACAAAAATAATAAAAATACACGTCCAAAGACGCTGGATGCAAAAAAGGGTCTTGCCGCGACTCGAACGCGGGGCCTCTCGCAAATTTTACTCAGGAACTGGGCGCCCTAAGCGAGAATCATACCACTAGACCACAAGACCGTTTGATTGGTTGAAGGCTCGGTGAGAAAGTGCTATTATATAGCAAGCAATTTCATCAAGGTTTATTTACTGTCAGATTGTTGTTGGGACGAAAAACTCTGAATTTGAAAATCAAGATGTGGAGTTCGGAGCATTTCGAGCCCCGGTGTATGCGGACGGAGTCTGTAAAAGTGGACCGTGCGATATCCCCGTGTCTCCCATAAGAGGGTTAGTGCCATTTACTTGTTAGTAAACAAACAACTTCCTTAGCGACAATACTCTCATCTCAACGAAAACCTCCAATTGTTATTTTTCGGGACACAACCAGCCCACACACACAATGGCGGAGCCTATGACTTCGCTCTCTCCGGAGAAGCTCAATGCTGCTCCTCACGACAACGATATCTTCACTGACGACGCGGACGTCACCTCCTGGCATGATCCTCCTTCCTCGCCGTTCGTGGAGCACGTCGACCACAACGACCAGGAGAACATTGCACCCACACCAGTTAAGCCGCTAATGGACTTGGAGAACGATGTTCCACAGTCAGCTTTCAAAATATCACCGGACAAGAAAATGATGCCGCTGAAAGAGCAGAGCCCGATGAAGTCCCCCGCGAAGAACCTACTTGACGATTTTGAGCGGGAGGCATTGAGATCGGAACGCACAAGCCCTAAGAAGAACGCAAGTCCGATGAAGCAAATTCTGCAAGATATGGAAGGGGAAAGGCCTGGGTCTGCAATGAGCAGTCGATCGCGCAGAAGCTCGCCTTCGAAGTCGTCACGCTCATCGCTTCTGGAGTCCGCAGCAGAGATCACTCCTGCGGCCCCGAAATCGCTCGCATCACCCTTGAAAAATAACGGCCTACGTGACAACGAGGGATTAACGGTTGCCATGCGCATCATGGATGAGACACGCAGCGAGACTCGCGAGCGGTCAACGTCATACACTATCAATAAAGGGATATTGGATATTGAAGACACAGGCATTGAAGATACCATGGAGTACAATGCCGATGGGCCGGACATGTCAAGTTTGGACATGGACGACACATGCTTCAGCAACTTTTCTGAGATGCCCGGTGTTGATATGACGAAGTTTGCTATGCTGCGCAATAGTCCTACCAAGAATGGAGCTCCTGATCAGGTGCGTAATCTTCAATGCTTTCTAAGAAATTGATATTAACTACAGCTGCAGACACCTCGCGCTCGCGCGCAGATGACACCTTCAACCGTCCGTCGCACTCAACGTACACCGTCTCCAACACCTCGGCGGTCCCGTAAAGAGGGCGATACCACCAACCTTCTTCTGGATTTCACCGCTCAGTTCGAAGCCTTCTCCACCTCCCGGCGCATGTCTCCGTCCCACAACCGTCAATCACCACCCAGATCAACAACGGAGCCAAACCTCCGTGCATTCTATGATGGTCAGCGTTCTCCTACCAGAGGAGGAGCTTCCAATGTTCTTGCCACGCCTCGTCAAAACCGAGCTGTGTTGAATTTGTTGGATTTTGAGCTCCCTCCTGCGCCTACACCCCGCTCTGTTCCCACGGTGACCATTCGTGAATTGGAGAGTCTAAAGTCCAATTTCCAATCGCAGATCTCTTCGCTTACTGCAAGTCTTTCTGGTAAAGAGGCGCAAGTGGAGAGTCTAGTCAGGGCCATTTCCGATGCAGAGCGTCGGGTCGGGGAAGCACAAGAATCAGTGCGCGATGAGCGCTCCGCTAGAGAGTACGCGGAAGCGCAGATGGAAGACTGGAAGAAGAAGGGCGAGGAAGTGCAGACTTTGCTGAAAGACGTGCAATCCGAGCTCGCACGTAACGACGCAGAACGTGAGCAACTTCTTGCCCGGCTCGCCGAGGCTGAGAAGCGCAGCGAAGAAGCGGATCAGCGTTCTTCAGATCTCGAAACACGCCTGATCGAGGCCGAGAGTAAGAATGTAGACATGACGACCTTCATCAACCCAGATGAAGACGTCGAAAACAAGAAGATCTACTCCGAGCTTGAGTGCCAGACCGCCATCGCAGAGAAGGTCAACGAAGTCGCCCGCGACCTCCACACAGCGTACAAGGCCAAGCACGAGAAGAAAATCAAAGCCCTCAAAGAGAGCTACCAACGAAAAGCCGACGAGCGCTGCAAAGAGCTCCGCCTCCAAATCATCCGCCTAGAGCGCAAGCTCGACGATGCGGAAAAGAAGCAAGACACCTTCAGCAAAGTGGTTCCCGACGCGCAGCTCTCCACCACCACCCCCAAAGAAGAGATAGAAGGTACCTGCGACTTCTGCAACCGACCCCCCATCAGCTCCACCTCCCTTCCCTCCGACCTCAAACTCCTCGAAACCCACAAAGCAACCATTGAATCCCTCAAAGCCAAGCTCGCGGGTCTAGAATCCGAACTCGCCTCCCTCCGCAGCACCAACGAGTCGCTCACGATAGACCTCGAGGCCGAGCGCGTCGAAAAGGGCGAGCTAGTCGCTGCTGCCGAGCAGATGCTCGCCATGTGCGGCGAGAAGATGGAGGAATTACAGCAGGAAGAGTTCAGAAAGTCGCAAGCTCCTCCTCCCTCCGCTCCCACCACCTCCGCCGGAGCGGGAGCGGGAGCAGCACTAAAACGTTCCACCTCTTCTGCTTCCTCACAGCAGAACAACAAACCTGCAAACGACATGCGCAGCACAGGCTTCCTAGCCGGCGGCGGCAGCGGCCCATCACGACCCGGCTCCGCCCTCTCGTCCGCGAGACCAGGCAGCGCGTTCGGCGACCGCTCGCTGTCTTCGTCATCTACCAACACCACCAGCAATAACAACAGTGTAAGCGGAGTCGCTAAACCCAGCGGTCTGCGCGCCCCCGGCGCCGGAGGTTTTGGATTCGGTGGTGCGAGTAGCGGACATGGACGTACGACGAGCTCGAGTAGTCTGACCGGAAGCAAGAGTCGGATTTTGAGTAATATTGAGAGGATGGGTGGTTAGATGGATAGATGGGGAATTTTGGTTCGGTTCCTTGTTGTTTGGGTTGTTTTGTGACGAACGGTGTTTTTTTGGATGGGTGTGTGGTTTTTTTTTTGGGTCTTTGATGGATTCGGTTGGATTTGGTTCGCCTTTTTTCTCATTGGTTCATGTCGTGTCAAAGTCTCTTTTTCGGGGAGGATTATTTCAGGTTGCATTGTGTCTTATAGGTGTGTGGATACCTATTGTTGCCCCTGTGTGTATATACCTCGAGGCAGGCAGGACCTTATCTAATACGCGGTCTCGTGGAAGGGAGTTTTCTTCCCTTCCCTCCTCATAAAAGTCAGATATCCATCTTCCGTCACTTTCCTTCTTCAATTCATGTCCTGTTCCCTTCCCTATAAGACGGAATGCACACAAACTTCACACACGCAATAGTCCACTCCACGCACACGCAAGATTTTATAACATTTTTTCAATTTTTGTTTCTCTTTTCTCTCGGGATAAACAGTATAACAAGAGCCTCCACAGTTCTCCAGCTCCAGGTATCTCGCGCTCTCCTCCTGCTCCACCTAAGCTAAGCTACGCGCACCTCGAACAAAACTCCCAAACCCCGATCCCATTTCGCCTTAAACTGTTGCCTTGAGAAGCAGTATCCCTTATTCCCCGTTCCTATGACTTGCGGCTGTTGAGAGCCATATCTAGAACGACGTGAAACCTCCCAGGAAAGAAGAAGTGTATGTTCGGGTATACTCAGTTGCATCGACCGAGTCCGTGAGTTGAAAAAAAAGAGAAAGAGAAAAAGAGAAAAGAAGATAAAGGAAAGAAAAGGAAAAGGGTATCATGACAAACGAGATTCGTGAAAAGGCCAAGTTTTTCCCCCAAATGCCTGTTCCCATTTGGTTCCCCGATTTTCCGTTTGTGATAATGTAAACGCCAGTTTTTCGCCGTGGTTGATGATTATTGGATGATAAAAAGAACGCCGTGGTGTTGTGCAATGATGGATGATGTTGATGATTTGATGGTGGAAAGCGTTCCGGAAAGTTTATTGTGGACGAGGATGACGACGAAGATGATGGTGTTGAAAACACGGTAATGCGCGATAGGGCGAAGACGGTAGGGTTAGTATCCGAATTCGATGAAGCTTCCCTCTTCGTCGTCGTCGTCGTTCTCTTCATCTTCAGAATCGACGTCAGCCTCGAGGTCTTCGTCGTCTGAATCCGAGTCGGAGAGAATATCGCTCTCTGCGTCACTGTCATCGCTCTCCCCCTCTCCCTTGTATTCGGTCGCTGCCTCGACTCCCTGAGCGCGTGCTTCAACACTAGTTCCATCGTCTGTGTTGTCAAGTGTCTCTTCGAAAAGTATCATGGCATAGTCCAAGCGGATCGGTAAGCGAGTGGTCGTACCATCGTCCTCTTTGTCGGAAGTATCGCTGTCATCCTCCTCCAAGTGTTCGTCGGACAGTGAGGCAGAAGAAGAGGAAGAAGTAATGTCGTATTTGCCGCCGGGTTCGTAGCGGGGAGACTTGCGCCAAAAGTAATGCTGGTCTCGGCCTCGCTCGAAATCGGTATCTTCGCTAAAGGAAACGCGTCCCTTCTTCTGTTTTTTCTGCGGAACTTTGCATGGTGATGAAGAAGTCGGGGAGTAAAGAGAGGAGTAAGAGGAAGACATGGAGTCGGAAGCAGACCCTTCAATGCCGGTCCAGTATATGCGCAATGCCTCATGTGCGGTCTTGATATTGCCGTCGCCTTCGGTGTTCGAGCTGGGATTTGTTTCGTCCCAGGATTCCTCCACCACAACGAGTTGCTCAATTTCTGCGATAGCGTGGATAACTGCAATCTTGCCGGCATAGAAGGCTTCAAGAATGGGGTTGCTGGGCGGCGCCGCTTCCCACCGCTGCTCCATGTAGCCGCCCGCCTTCCTAAGAGCTTGCATAAGAATGTTCATGTAGGTGGTGTGCATCTCAACTATGCAGACGGGACAGCGCTCCACAGTCTCGCGGGCCGGCTCGTACCATTGCGTCTGGTGCAATACATGACCACAGGTTGCGCTCACTTTTTTCCCTTGGTTGATGTTTTGC